GTACTGTTGTGGGTTCAGTAACACTTTATTGTGTAATGGATGGTGGCCACACTGGTGATCTTAACCAAAGCTGATGGTAACTGAGAAAGTAAGAACTATACTGAAAAAAGAAAGAGGGAATATTCAAAACACTGACTATGTTAGTGTTGCTATCTAAACCATAGTCAGACCAAATCCCATAAAGTTACATACAGCGGGGTAAAGCCCCCTAAATTAGACAAGTGGATAATCCGACAGCAGACAAGGCTTGTATCAGAAATTGTGGTGTAAAAGTAATTATCTATTCGTGGCAGAAAAAAAAATTGCCTGGCTCCTCCTCTTCTTTGTGTGTCCCCAAGCAAGCCGTTTGCTATGAGGATAGGCGCTGTGTGCTCCCTCCCGACCCATGTGTCTATGGAGCCGTGCTCCATAGACACACAGCATAACTTAGCCCCGCCCCTGACTTCCTCTTCACTGCACTTGATTGACAGCAGCAAGAGCCAATGGCTTCTGCTGCTGTTCGAGTCCCTGTGTGAAGAGCAAGAGGGAAGAAGAAATGCAGTCGTGCATTTTTTTCATGAAAATAAATAAGTCAGCAGCTACAAAAACTGTAGCTGCTGACTTTTAAAAAAAACTGACACTTACCTGTCCCTCGATCCTGTGGTGTACCTGTCAATTTTGGGTACCTGCAAAAAAAAAAAAAACATTTTTAGGTTTAGTGTCACTTTAACCACTTCCAGTCCAGACACTTTCCCCCCCTTCCTGTCCAGGCCAATTTTCAGCTTTCAGCGCTATCACACTTTGACAATTGCGCGGTCATGCAACACTGTACCCATATGACTTTTTTAGCATTTTTTTTTTTTTTGAGACAGATAAAACTTTATTTTGGTGGTATTTATTTAATTTTTTTGCTATATAAATGAAAAAGTCAAAAAATTTTGAAAAAAAGTTTTTTTCTTATAAAATTTGGCAAATAAATAATATTTCATCATAAATCTCGGCCAAAATGTAATCGGCTATCTTTTTAGTAAAAAAAAAAAATAATTAGTTTATAACCAAAAATTATAATTTAAAAAAAAAAAAAATGTTTATTTATTTTTTCGTAGATCAATGCTTTTTTTGTTCTAATGCTTTACATTGCAGAGGAGAGATGTGGGGGTCCTATTGACTCCATATCGCTCCATAAGGGGACCTGTCACTAATTAGTTTCTATTACAGGGAATGCACGCATTTCTTGTGATAAAAATAAAAGTGATTAAATTTTTTTTAAAGGAACCGTGCAAAAAAAAACCCAAAACATTAAATTTAAAAAAAAGAAAAAAAACCGTGCCCCCGTGATCACACGTAGTGGTGAACACATACGTAGGCCACGTCCACGTATGTGAACGGTGTTCAAACCACACACGTGAGGTATCGCTATGAACGTCGGAGGAAGAACAATAATTCTGGCACTAGACCTCCTCTGTATCTTTACACTGATAACCTGTAGACATTTTTAAAGCATCACCCATGGAGATTTTTAAGTACTGCAGTTTGACGCCATTCCACGAGCGTGCGCAATTTTAAAGCGTGACATGTTGGGTATCTATTTACTCCCCATAACATCCTCTTTCATATTTTACAAAACAAATTGGGTATATATTGTTTTTTGTTTTTTTTTAATCAAAGTGTATTTTTTTTTTTTATAAAAAATATATATTAGTTTTTAAAAATGCGCATTTTGGTTTTGATTTTCGCCCAAGTGCATTTTGAATTTTCAGTTTTGGCGCCAGAATTTTAATTTTGTTGCACCACTACTTGCAGCAGCTCCATCCATCTCTGCCGGTAGTGTCATTTCCACTTCAGCCCATGCTGTCCCTGGCCAGTGGCCAAGGCGAGGATCCAGGATAACCTATAGGCCTCTTGCACATGGTACTGATGTTTGAGCATCTGCTTTTTTTTTTTTTTTTTTTAACCTCCTCGGCGGTATGATTCTTTCCGTTTTTTTTGTGCTCAAAGCGGTACATTTTTTTGCATGGAAATATGTAGTTTTTTATTGTAGGCTGTAATTTTAGGAATAACTCACTGAAATCTGTCCGAACAAGAGTCTAGTAAACATCCCGGGTAGGATAAAACTTGAAACACGAAATCATAAATTATAATTTAATAATCATAAAAAATAATATATATAATAATAAATTTAATTCAATAATATAATTAAACCAAAAACACTGAAATTTGAAATACATAGGCAAATTCGCACATCGCTGAGCTCAGTCGCAGAATCGTTTTCAGTGTCTGATGAGGAATTTCCCCCACGAATCATTATCACTCAATTCTGCAAGTGGTTCTGATTTACTATCGCTGTTCTCTAGCCCGTCTAAAACCGCGTCTGACCTAAAGGGATGCTTTTTGGACGCCATGAACATTTTTTCAGTTTCCAGGCAAAAAGAACAGTAAAAATGCAGGCAGGGCGCCGGACAAAGCACTCGGGACAAAATATATGTGAAATGCATTGAAACAGCAATGACAGCAAAAATGAAATTTTTAAAAAATTTAAAATTTCCCGCCGGTTCCCGCGCCCGTACGTCCCGACGTCACAGGGACCGGAACACGGAAGCCGATGCCGGCATCAGCCGGAGGAGATGGCCGGGGACGCTGCAGGGGCACATCGTGGGGAGCGGAGGACAAGGTAAGTGCTGCAGGGACTCCCTGAGCAACGCCGCATGGTAAGTCCGAGTGTAGCTCGGGGTTACCGCTCTTGGTACTGAAATTTTACCCCGAGCTACACTCGGGAAAACCGCTAAGGAGGTTAACGTAATTTCACGCACTTATCTTGTGCGTATTTGCACGCACAGTGTATTCTTTTGATATGTATGTTCATAGTCATGTATTTGCGTGCATTTGTGCACACGCAGCATAAATTACAATGTTGACAAACTCCTTCTGTGTCAAATCACTGGGAAGTAGGCGGGCGGGGGCATGCGCGCCCAAAACCTGGAAACAGGCAGCGACGTAAAGGTATGCCGCTGTTGCTGTAGGAGCCGCCCCGTCGCAGTATATGTATTGCAGCGGGTAGCCAAGCGCTTCATTTTTCTAGGTCTTTTTGTGAAGGTATTGAATCCAGATTCTGCCAGGCAACTTGGGTTTTCATAAAGAAATTTGCAATAGAATCATCTGTATTGCTCTCAGCACAGGGTTTTCCTGCTGCGACAAAGCCTATCGGCCTGTTTTCCAGTCCCTTCACTTGATCCCTTGTGTTATTATAATGACCATGCCAGTTTACCTCCAGAGCTGACATTCCACTTGTTGTTTGTTGCAGATGCCGCATGTGCTCAATCACCTTCTTTTCAAAGTCGGAGATGCAGATTCACTCAAAGTCGCACACAGAGGCCAAGCCCCACAAGTGCCCGCATTGCTCGAAAACCTTTGCCAACAGCTCCTACTTGGCCCAGCACGTGCGCATCCACTCGGGGGCCAAACCGTACACCTGCAGCTATTGTCAGAAAGCCTTCCGCCAGCTCTCTCACCTCCAGCAGCACACACGGTAAGACAGGCTGGGGTTTGCTGCAAGAACAGGCCTCAGATTGGAAATATAGAAAGGGGGAGAAATAGTTGGATACATTTTTTTTTATTCTGCCCAATTCTAATAAAGGGAGAAGTAGATTATAGATTTTTTTTTTTCTTTCTTGAATATTGTTTTTGCATTATGATCCTATTTACTTGTGTATTAGCTTTGCTTTAAACAGCTTGTTCAGTATTGTCACATGACACATACATGATCACCATTTTCATCTTACCTTATATGTTAGCTTTAGCTCATATTTACTCCTTCGGGCCAAGAAACATTAATGGGCAGTTCTTTCTGTGGTTAACCTGTTTCTAATAGGAGCAAGGTCAGGCAGTCTGCTGCCATTCAGCTTCTGAGGAACTACAGGATCCTATTGTCAGCTAGCATATGTTCACTCTTCGCTGCCTTCCACAATTTTCCTTTATAATGTGCTTTTATTGACTAGGGCAGTGTTTCTCCACCTTTTTTTTAGTCAAGGCACCCTTTAAAATGATGGAGAGTCCCGAGGCACCCTTTAAAATGATGGACAGTCCCGAGGCACCCTTTAAAATGATGGACAGTCCCGAGGCACCCTTTAAAATGATGGACAGTCCCAAGGCACCCTTTAAAATGGCGGACAGTCTCGAGGCACCCTTTAAAATGATGGACAGTCCCGAGGCACCCTTTAAAATGGAGGACAGTCCCGAGGCACCCTTTAAAATGGAGGACAGTCCCGAGGCACCCTTTAAAATGGAGGACAGTCCCGAGGCACCCTTTAAAATGGAGGACAGTCCCGAGGCACCCTTTTAAAATGAGGACAGTCCCGAGGCACCCTTTAAAATGGAGGACAGTCCCGAGGCACCCTTTAAAATGATGGACAGTCCCGAGGCACCCTTTAAAATGATGGACAGTCCCGAGGCACCCTTTAAAATGATGGACAGTCCCGAGGCACCCTTTAAAATGATGGACAGTCCCCGAGGCACCCTTTAAAATGGACAGTCCCGAGGCACCCTTTAAAATGGACAGTCCCGAGGCACCCTTTAAAATGGACAGTCCCGAGGCACCCTTTAAAATGGACAGTCCCGAGGCACCCTTTAAAATGATGGACGATCCGAGGCACCCTTTAAAATGATGGACAGTCCTGAGGCACCCTTTAAAATGGCGGACAGTCTCGAAGCACCCTTTAAAATGGCGGACAGTCTCGAAGCACCCTTTAAAATGGTGGGACAGTCCCGAGGCACCCTTTAAAATGATGGACAGTCCCGAGGCACCCTTTAAAATGATGGACAGTCCCGAGGCACCCTTTAAAATGATGGACAGTCCCGAGGCACCCTTTAAAATGATGGACAGTCCCGAGGCACCCTTTAAAATGATGGACAGTCCCGAGGCACCCTTTAAAATGATGGACAGTCCCGAGGCACCCTTTAAAATGATGGACAGTCCCGAGGCACCCTTTAAAATGATGGACAGTCCCGAGGCACCCTTTAAAATGATGGACAGTCCCGAGGCACCCTTTAAAATGATGGACAGTCCCGAGGCACCCTTTAAAATGATGGACAGTCCCGAGGCACCCTTTAAAATGATGGACAGTCCCGAGGCACCCTTTAAAATGATGGACAGTCCCGAGGCACCCTTTAAAATGATGGACAGTCCCGAGGCACCCTTTAAAATGATGGACAGTCCCGAGGCACCCTTTAAAATGATGGACAGTCCCGAGGCACCCTTTAAAATGATGGACAGTCCCGAGGCACCCTTTAAAATGATGGACAGTCCCGAGGCACCCTTTAAAATGATGGACAGTCCCGAGGCACCCTTTAAAATGAGGACAGTCCCGAGGCACCCTTTAAAATGGAGGACAGTCCCGAGGCACCCTTTAAAATGATGGACAGTCCCGAGGCACCCTTTAAAATGATGGACAGTCCCGAGGCACCCTTTAAAATGATGGACAGTCCCGAGGCACCCTTTAAAATGATGGACAGTCCCGAGGCACCCTTTAAAATGATGGACAGTCCCGAGGCACCCTTTAAAATGATGGACAGTCCCGAGGCACCCTTTAAAATGATGGACAGTCCCGAGGCACCCTTTAAAATGATGGACAGTCCCGAGGCACCCTTTAAAAAATGATGGACAGTCCCGAGGCACCCTTTAAAATGATGGACAGTCCCGAGGCACCCTTTAAAATGATGGACAGTCCCGAGGCACCCTTTAAAATGATGGACAGTCCGAGGCACCCTTTAAAATGATGGACAGTCCCGAGGCACCCTTTAAAATGATGGACAGTCCCGAGGCACCCTTTTTAAAATGATGGACAGTCCCGAGGCACCCTTTAAAATGATGGACAGTCCCGAGGCACCCTTTAAAATGATGGACAGTCCCGAGGCACCCTTTAAAATGATGGACAGTCCCCGAGGCACCCTTTAAAATGATGGACAGTCCCGAGGCACCCTTTAAAAATGATGGACAGTCCCGAGGCACCCTTTAAAAAATGATGGACAGACAGTCCCGAGGCACCCTTTAAAATGATGGACAGTCCCGAGGCACCCTTTAAAATGATGGACAGTCCCGAGGCACCCTTTAAAATGATGGACAGTCCCGAGGCACCCTTTAAAATGATGGACAGTCCCGAGGCACCCTTTAAAATGATGGACAGTCCCGAGGCACCCTTTAAAATGATGGACAGTCCCGAGGCACCCTTTAAAATGATGGACAGTCCCGAGGCACCCTTTAAAATGATGGACAGTCCCGAGGCACCCTTTAAAATGATGGACAGTCCCGAGGCACCCTTTAAAATGATGGACAGGCACCCCCGAGGCACCCTTTAAAATGATGGACAGTCCCGAGGCACCCTTTAAAATGATGGACAGTCCCGAGGCACCCTTTAAAATGATGGACAGTCCCGAGGCACCCTTTAAAATGATGGACAGTCCCGAGGCACCCTTTAAAATGATGGACAGTCCCGAGGCACCCTTTAAAATGATGGACAGTCCCGAGGCACCCTTTAAAATGATGGACAGTCCGAGGCACCCTTTAAAATGATGGACAGTCCCGAGGCACCCTTTAAAATGATGGACAGTCCCGAGGCAGCCTTTAAAATGATGGACAGTCCCGAGGCAGCCTTTAAAATGATGGACAGTCCCGAGGCAGCCTTTAAAATGATGGACAGTCCCGAGGCAGCCTTTAAAATGATGGACAGTCCCGAGGCACCCTTTAAAAATGATGGGACAGTCCCGAGGCACCCTTTAAAATGATGGACAGTCCCGAGGCACCCTTTAAAATGATGGACAGTCCCGAGGCACCCTTTAAAATGATGGACACAGTCCCGAGGCACCCTTTAAAATGATGGACAGTCCCGAGGCACCCTTTAAAATGATGGACAGTCCCGAGGCACCCTTTAAAATGATGGACAGTCCCGAGGCACCCTTTAAAATGATGGACAGTCCCGAGGCACCCTTTAAAATGATGGACAGTCCCGAGGCACCCTTTAAAATGATGGACAGTCCCGAGGCACCCTTTAAAATGATGGACAGTCCCGAGGCACCCTTTAAAATGATGGACAGTCCCGAGGCACCCTTTAAAATGATGGACAGTCCCGAGGCACCCTTTAAAATGATGGACAGTCCCGAGGCACCCTTTAAAATGATGGACAGTCCCGAGGCACCCTTTAAAATGATGGACAGTCCCGAGGCACCCTTTAAAATGATGGACAGTCCCGAGGCACCCTTTAAAATGATGGACAGTCCCGAGGCACCCTTTAAAATGATGGACAGTCCCGAGGCACCCTTTAAAATGATGGACAGTCCCGAGGCACCCTTTAAAATGATGGACAGTCCCGAGGCACCCTTTAAAATGATGGACAGTCCCGAGGCACCCTTTAAAATGATGGACAGTCCCGAGGCACCCTTTAAAATGATGGACAGTCCCGAGGCACCCTTTAAAATGATGGACAGTCCCGAGGCACCCTTTAAAATGATGGACAGTCCCGAGGCACCCTTTAAAATGATGGACAGTCCCGAGGCACCCTTTAAAATGATGGACAGTCCCGAGGCACCCTTTAAAATGATGGACAGTCCCGAGGCACCCTTTAAAATGATGGACAGTCCCGAGGCACCTTTTAAAATGATGGACAGTCCCGAGGCACCCTTTAAAATGATGGACAGTCCCGAGGCACCCTTTAAAATGATGGACAGTCCCGAGGCACCCTTTAAAATGATGGACAGTCCCGAGGCACCCTTTAAAATGATGGACAGTCCCGAGGCACCCTTTAAAATGATGGACAGTCCCGAGGCACCCTTTAAAATGATGGACAGTCCCGAGGCACCCTTTAAAATGATGGACAGTCCCGAGGCACCCTTTAAAATGATGGACAGTCCCGAGGCACCCTTTAAAATGATGGACAGTCCCGAGGCACCCTTTAAAATGATGGACAGTCCCGAGGCACCCTTTAAAATGATGGACAGTCCCGAGTCAGCACCCTTTAAAATGATGGACAGTCCCGAGCACCCTTTAAAATGATGGACAGTCCCGAGGCACCCTTTAAAATGATGGACAGTCCCGAGGCACCCTTTAAAAATGATGGACAGTCCCGAGGCACCCTTTAAAATGATGGACAGTCCCGAGGCACCCTTTAAAATTACGGACAGTCCCGAGGCACCCTTTAAAATTACGGACAGTCTTGAGGCACCCCATTCTCCCTGTCATACTGCTCCAGGGGACCCATGCAGCCTTCCTGTCACATTCTGTTTTACACTTGGAAAGGAGAGACAGTGGGGGGTGGTATATTCACTAAACGATCCTCTCCCATTTTCCTCCTGCAACTGCTGAAAGCCGGCTTCTCCTCCTTTCCCTCCTGCCAGCATTCAGGGACTGCAGGAAGAAAATGTTCATTATGCTATTCAAAATTCTGAACTATTTAATTTAACCTCTTCATGACAGCCACACGCAAATGTGCGGCCTCCTGGCGTCTGGGCCTTGACGCCGAGTGGGCGCACGTTTGTGTGCAATTAAAAAAAAACCGTGCACAGGACGGGCGCGTGCATGCTCCCAGCACACGTCTGGTACTCACGGAAAGGTCCCAATCTCCTCTTTCGATCGGGACCTTTCCCGATCATGTGACTGCAAATCACAGCGGTCACATGACCCTAAAATCCCACCCCGCCTCCCGGCTTCTGAAATCCTTAAAGGGCCAGGAGGTGCCGGCGCCAACGGGTTAATTGTGGCCCATGACAGGTTACCAGATCACATCAAAAGGTTGAGCACCCCTGGCCTGAATCATCCCTTATTTGTTGACCCTGATCTCTACTCTTCACTGCCAGGGGGTGGTAGTAGGAAGGGATATCATGGGCTGACCTACAGCTTTTTTTTTTTTTTTGGCCAGTGGCCAAGCCTCCTTATTAGAAAAGATCGTTTTGCCTGATAATCTGGGGGCCTAAAAAAATGTATTCCTAGGTGGCCTTTTGCCATCAGATTGCACACCCCCTTCTCCCATAATGTGGTCATTGGCTAGCAGTGCACTTTGGGCCTTACAATTCCTCAGGAGCATGAAGGATGCCGGCTTCCTGGCCTTGTGTTTCATTAGCCACACACAGTAAGATTTGTGATGTCAGTTGCTGAGCGCCATGCGAAGTTTACCAAAAAAAAAAACAATCAACTGAACCTAGCGGTGACTGCACATCCGTACCTAGGGGTGACTGCGCATCCGTACCTAGGGGTGACTGCGCATCCGTACCTAGGGGGGTGACTGCGCATCCGTACCTAGGGGTGACTGCGCATCCGTACCTAGGGGTGACTGCGCATCCGTACCTAGGGGTGACTGCGCATCCGTACCTAGGGGTGACTGCGCATCCGTACCTAGGGGTGACTGCGCATCCGTACCTAGGGTGACTGCGCATCCGTATCCGTACCTAGGGGTGACTGCGCATCCGTACCTAGGGGTGACTGCGCATCCGTACCTAGGGGTGACTGCGCATCCGTACCTAGGGGTGACTGCGCATCCGTACCTAGGGGTGACTGCGCATCCGTACCTAGGGGTGACTGCGCATCCGTACCTAGGGGTGACGGCGCATCCGTACCTAGGGGTGACGGCGCATCCGTTCTTAGCGGTGACTGCGCATCCGTACCTAGGGGCGCATCCGTACCTGACTGCGCATCCGTACCTAGGGGTGACTGCGCATCGGTACCTAGGGGTGACTGCGCATCCGTACCTAGGGTGACTGCGCATCCGTACCTAGGGGTGACGGCGCTATCCGTACCTAGCGGTGAGCGCGTGACTAGCGGTGCACATCCGTACCTAGCGGTGACCGCCGTCTGTACCTAGCGGTGACCGCGCGTCTGTACCTAGCGTTGACCGCGCGTCTGTGCCTAGCGGTGACCGCGCTAGCGGTCTGTGCCTAGCGGTGACCGACCGCGCTTCTGTCTAGCGGTGTGCCTAGCGGTGACCGCGCGTCCTGTCTAGCGGTGCGTCTAGTACCTAGCGGTGACCGCGCGTCTGTGCCTAGCGGTGACCGCGCGCGTAACCGTCTGTGCCTAGGGGTGACCGCGCGCGCATCCGTACCTAGCGGTGACGGCGCATCCGTACCTAGCGGTGACGGCGCATCCGTACCTAGCGGTGACGGGCATCCGTACCTATACGGCACATACTCGCAGCAGCTTTTATTGTCCCCTCTCTGGCCATATACCAGGCCGTCCTTCTAATGCCTTAGAACCTGCTGGTAGTGTCAGAGCTCGCATGCTTCCTCCCTTGCTTAGACATCTCTAATGTCCCATCACTCACTATGATGAGCTGCTTCACCAGTCAAAAGGAATCTGTAGGGGGAGCAGACAAGTTTCCTCCAATACCACCCCCCCTTCCTCCCCGATCAGAATAACCTGGCATTCAGGCAAAGCGGGTGCAATAAAATTTGCTGCAGATATATGCAAACACCTCTGTTCACATGGAAGAAAAATTATATTTGAGTATATTGTAGAAATATTCTTCCCAAATATATTGACATATATTTGAAACACTACAATTTTGGCCGTATTCAATATATTTCAATATATGTTTCAATAAATATATATATATATACACACACACTGCATTTTGAAATGTGTTTTTTATATATTACAAAATATCTCAAAAATTTTTTTAAAATATATTCTTCAGATTTTTTTTTTAATATATAAAAAAATCATTTTAACATATTTTTACATATATTTCTAAATGCATTCCAAAAATTTAATTTGTATTTTTAAAGACATACAGTATATTTGAAATGTATTTTTAAAAATATTTTTTATATATTTTGTAATAAAAATGCATTTCAACATACAGTGTGTGTGTATATATGTGTGTGTGTGTGTGTGTGTGTATATATATATATATGTGTGTGTGTGTATATATATGTGTGTGTGTGTATATATATGTGTGTGTGTGTGTGTGTGTGTGTATATATATGTGTGTGTGTGTGTGTGTGTGTGTGTATATATATGTGTGTGTGTGTGTGTATATATATGTGTGTGTATGTATATATATATATATCTATGTGTGTGTGTGTGTGTGTATATATATATATTACTACAAAATATATGAAAAATATTTTTAAAAATACATTTCAAATATATACTGTATGTCTTTAAAAATACAAATCTACATTTTTGGAGTGTATTTACAAATATATGTAAAAATATATGTTAAAATTGACTTTTTTATATGTAAAAAAAAAAAATCTGTAGAATATATTTAAAAAATATATATTTTTATGAAATTTTCATATATTTTGTAATATATAAAAAACGCACTTCAACATGCAGTGTGTGTGTATGTATATGTGTATGTGTATATATATATTATTATTATTATTACACAGGATTTATATAGCGCCAACAGTTTGCTCAGCGCTTTACAATATAAATATATATATATATATATATATATATATATATATATATATATATATATATAGATAGATAGATAGATAATTTTTTTTACATTTATTGAATACGGCCAAAATTGTAGTATTTCAAATATATGTCAATATATTTCGGAAGAATATTTTTTAAATATATTTCAAATATATTTTTCTTCCATGCGGGTAGATGCTTTCACTTTAACATTCAGGAAATAAAAAAAAGCTGATGTCCAAATTTAAAGTGGCAGACACTGACCAATATCGTTTGCTGGTAAATTTTGCTGGTTTGGCCCATCGGAATCTTATTGTCGGTGGCCATTAGAGTTCTCGTTAGAGGCTGTAAGATAAGTGATTTAAGCGATATTCATGTGATGTTCTGTAGGCTGTGAAGTTACACAGGGAGCGTTTCCATTCAGACATTGTGTCAAGTGTCTCCTAACCTTCTCCATGTACACAACACCTTTTATATACTATCACGTGTCACTTTTCTAGGATGCACTTGCATTGTTTGTAATTCTGTGTATCATGTGTGTCATCCATTGTCATGTGATCCTAGCTGCTCCTCATTGAGTTCAATATAGATGTGGTCCTCCCTGCCTTCCATGCTGCTACTCCATGGCTTCTCTCTGCTCTCTTCTCTTTATCTGCTCCATCTGCCAGGCCTGCCTTTCTTCATTGTCCTAGGAGCCTCCTTCCCAGAAGATGAATCTATATTGTACACAGATCAATAATTGAACCGTTGACTAAGTGACAGATCCATAAATATACATTCTTTGCAGTGCCATAGGACATCAGGATTAGGCTAGATTCACATCTGTGCGGGTGGTGCCGCTGCGGATCCTCACAAACATCCGTACAGCCGCACCACCCGCACAGAGAAATGCGGACCCGCTGGCGGGTGTCATTAGTTCTAATGGCACGCCGCCCGCACTGGGAAAACACAGCCGTACTGGGAACCTCGGCTGCGTTTTCAGAAGAAGTGCAGGGGCTTCTTCCCTGCATGTCACGGGGCACGGGAGTCCATTCAAATGAATGGGCTCTCGTGCCCGCGCAAAACACAGCCCGCACGGCCACATATATGTGAACCGGGGGGTTAACGCATATTAACAGAAAATACTAATAATGAGTATTCTCCGCTTGTCTACAAATGCTCATCATATAGCACAGAAATCACATTCCGGTCTGATTAGCTTCTCTTTTTCTTTCTGCAGATCTGCTGTTTACATACAGATATTCAAGGATTACTAGACAAAAATGTTTTCTTTAGTTTTTGGGTAGATTGCAGCTGGATTAGAACCCCTGTTTTTAAGGCTGTCTGTGCCCCTGTTAAGGAGATTCCCCCCCCCCCCCTCTATTTGTCCCGTTTACCGTTTTTATTGAAAGTGAAAGAAAATCCCAAATTTTGGGTTGTCTTAGAAAAGTAATAGATGGGAACTTTTCCAATGGGGACACTAGTCCTAGTGACCTGGGGGGTCCCCAAGGAATTCCCTTAAAGGATAAGGTCACCTTTTAGACAAAAATAATAAATGCACATTGTTTTGGATGTAAAAAAATGTGCATTTATTATTTTTGTCTGCAGGATCCTGGAAAGCATTGCACCAGCGATCAATAGAGGGCTGATACCATGCATGTCTCCGGGAGACCTGTCAGAATATCTGCTTGATGTACGGGATGTACAGGGTGTACGGGGTCTATGGGATGTACGGGGTCTATGGGATGTACGGGGTCTATGGGATGTACGGGGTCTATGGGATGTACGGGGTCTATGGGATGTACGGGGCCTATGGGGCGTACGAGGCGTAG